AAAAAAAAAAAAAAAAAAAAAATTGAAAACCCATACAATTAGTTAATGCTGCTGCTGTTCCTCTTAGCATTTTTAAAGGGTAAACACACTAAACCCATCTTTCTGCAAAGTTTCAGCAATTTTACATATTTAATCCTCCCCCTCCAAACAAGATAATCTTTGAGACTTCTTTTTTCCCAGGGGGATGGGAAATGGAACTTTCATTTAATCTAAACCCCAGGCAACCAACCCTGACCTCAGCCTGACCCAGCTGGCCTTGCCCTGCCCCTGGCTCAGGGCACATTTGCAGCTTGAGAGGGGCAGAGGAGCTGGGCCAGAACCTGTGGCACTGGTGATGGGAAGGTGTTCAATGTAGGTGCATGAGCCACCTCCGGTGGCAGACTGTTCCATACCTTGGGGGCTTGGACAATGAAGAAATTCTTCCTTATGTCTAGACTGAAACGGTCTTGCTGGAGTTTATAACCATTTGACCTCGTCATCCCTTGGGGTGCTCTGGTGAACAATCATTCCCCCAGATCCTGGTGAACACCCCAGTAAACTTATAGGTGGCCATCAGATCACCCCTGAGCCTGCGCTTTTCCACAGCTCTCAGCCTGTCATCGTAAGGTCTGTTTTCCTGACCTCTGATCATGCACATGGATCTTCTCTGAACTCTCTCAAGGTTTTCCACATCCTTTTTGAATTGAGGAGCCCAAAACTGGACACAGTACTCCAGCTGTGGCCTCACCAAGGCCGAGTACAACAGGAGAATGACATCCTGGGATTTGCTTGAGAAGCATCTATGGATGCAAGCCAGAGTTTTGCTTGCTTTACTGGCCGCAGCATCACACTGAAGGCTCATATTCATCTTGTGGTCAATCATGACCCCCAAGTCCCTTTCATCCGTAGTGCTAACCAGCGTAGCACTGCCAAGCCTATAAGGATGCTGTAGATGTTTTCTCCCAAGGTGGAGAACCTTGTATTTTTAGGTGTTAAACACTATCAGGTTCTCATCCGCTCATTTCTTGAGCCTGTCGAGGTCAGCCGGATCACCTTCCTGTCCTCCGGTGTGGATGATTTACCCCAGAGTTTGGTATCATCGGCAAACTTGGCCAGTCCACTTCTAACTCCGATGTCCACATCATTAATGAAGATGTTGAGCAATATAGGTCTAAGGACAGAGCCTTGAGGGACCCCACTCGTCACAGGGCACCATGACAATTGACCTCTGTCAACCACCGCGTTGTGGGTCTGACCACGGAGCCAATTTCCCAGCCAGTGGATCATGTTGGACCTGAGGCCGCAGTTGGCCAGTTTTGCCAAGAGGTGATCGTGGGATACCAGATCAAAGGCTTTTTTGAAGTTGAGATGTATGACATCAATCTCCTCTTCCTTGTCCAGGTGATGGGTCACCTGGTCATAAAAGAAGATAAGATTGGTCAAGCAAGACCTACCTGCAACAAACCCGTGCTGGCTATCCCTCAGGATGTTGCCGTTGGCCAGTCTGTTGAGAATGGCCTCTTTAATAATTTTTTCTAAGACCTTCCCCAGGATAGAGGTCAGGCTGATGGGCCTGTAGTTTGTCGGATCCACTTTCCTTCCTTTCTTGAAGATAGGCACCACACTGGTCTTCTTCCAGTCTTCAGGCACTTCAGCAAAGTGCCAGGAGTTCTCAAAGATCCGTGCCAGGGGCTGGGCTATGATGCTCGCCAGCTCCTTGAGTACCCTGGGGTTTGTTAGGGCCAACTGACTTGAAGGTGTCCAGCCCCTCGAGGTGTTCCTTCATAAGTTCAACATTGATGGAGGGCACGGAATCCTCCTCATCCAGGTCTCCCTTACACAGGCCCCCCTGTCCTGTAGTGGGCAGGGGTGTCCCGTGGGACTGATGAAAGACCAGTGCCAAGTACCCATTTAATAGGTTGGCTTTTTCCTGGGTGTCAGTTGTCAGTTGTCCCGTCTAGTTTAGCGGGGGTCCAGTGTTGCCCTTGCTTTTCCTCTGGCTCTCCACATATCTAAAAAAGAACTTTTTATTGTCCTTGATACTTGTAGCTAGTTGGAGTTCCGTCGCAGCCTTGGCTTTCCTGGTTTGCTCTCTGCAGGACTGGACCAGTGTGGAATATTCCTCCTTGGAGGTGGATCCTGTCCTCCGTCTTTTGTAGGCCTTTCTTTTTAGCTGCAGGAGGTTCAGTAGTTCCCCGGAGAGCCAAGGGGGCCGCTGTGCCCTTTTCCTGCCTTTCCTCCAAGATGGAATAGCGTTAGCTTATACATCGAGGATCGCTCCCTTGAGGAGCCAACCACTTTTCATGAGGTCCCCTCCCCTTGGGGTCATGGTCCCTTAGGGCTTCACTGACAAGCCTCCTGAGCTTGTCAAAGTCAGCTTTCCTGAAGTCAGGGACTTCTGTATTGCTGACTGACCTGCCAGCTTTACAGCAGATGGTGAAGGTGATCAGCTCGTGGTTGCTGTCACCCAGCTGCTGTTTGATCATTAGGTCACTGATTAGGTTGTCCCCGGTTGCCAGTACCAGGTCGAGCAGCGCTTTACCTCTCGTTGGCCCATAGACCTCTTGTGTCAGATAGAGGTCATTCACGCAGGAGAGGAAGCTTTGTGCCACTCAGATTTAGCCGAACACTCTTCCCACGAGGTGTCTGGCTAGTTGAAATCTCCCATGACAACCATGGGCCTGGAGCATGCGGCCTCGGCCAATTCCCTGGTGAACACCTGGTCAAGTTCTTGACTTTGGGTGGGAGGTCTGTAGTAGACTTCCACCATTGTGTCCCCTGTGCCATGTTCCCCATATATTTTAATCCAGAGGGCCTCCAGCCGTCCACCCTGGTCACCAATGTCAGTTTGCAGGGAGGCACAACTCTCCTTGACAGAGAGAGCTACACCCCTGCCCCTTTTGTCTACTCAATCTCTCCTGTACAGGGTATAGCCATTTATACCCGTGGTCCAGTCGTGGGTGGAGGCCCAGCAGGTCCCCGTTATCCCTATGACATCGTAATTTTTTGTGCTAAGCAGGAGAATAAGTTCCTCCTGTTTATTCCCCAAGCTCCTGGCATTTGTGTACAGGCTGGCAAGTGTTCCCTTGGGGGCCCCTACTTTG